GTTCCAGGGTCGTTGTTGCAGTGACGTTGGAGGGATTTCGGGCCTTTTCATTTTGTGTTGGTTGGTTTAGGTTTTGTTTGGCCACTGACGAATACAGTGAGCTATCGTATTGATGTCTAGTTTTGTATATTGACCAGGCTTGACGGTTGTCAACTTGCAGTCTTTTTATGGCTTATATTTTTTGTTTTGTGATGAAATGACCGAATGGTCGTAATTTCAGGAGTTATTTCGCTTGGGTTTGATTTTTTGTTTTGATCAAAAGGTTACCGTCAAGTGTTGCTTTTATTGTAAACGGCGCTGTTCCGCGGAGTGACCCATTTCGGTTCGGGCGATAACGAGGTATTTACCCTCTGGCAGGCACGTATCCCGAAATCTTTGAATTAAAAATATTTTCTATTTAAGATTTTTCATCAAAAAGTCTTTAGTAGAAGAAACCTGACCTAACAGGAACGTATTAGAGCTCGAAAACAATCGATGTTTGGGACCATCGATGTTTTCGATGTTTTGAAAGTAAACATCGATGGAACATCGATGTTTTCAAATAAAAAAAAAATATAACAATTAAGAAGTTTTTTATTTGGGATCAGAGATATTTAGAGATAGAGATTCTTATTTAAAAACATTTATTGATCAACAATGTTTGATTTTAAAGCGCACCTCCTGTCAGATATAATTTGTCCAGCTCTGCTGAACGCTCGCTCTGAAGCGCAGGAAGATGCTGGCACGCATAAGACTTTTTAGACAGCAGTGCTAAAGCAATGTATGCGCCTAAAATAAAATAAAATATTTTTTGTTATACGAAAACATAACATATCACATTGATTATTAACATGTGATGTAAATTACATGTGATACCATATGTATATTTAACTATACATATGTGATCAAAAACTTAATAAAATAAAGTTAAAAATAAGATTAACCCACTTTACTTACACGTTGCCCTCAATGCACAGATACAATAAAAACAATCGATAGTTGCCCAAGAACCATCGATGTTTAGAAAATTTAAGAAACATCAATGTTATCGATAGTGCTATCGATTTTTTTTCAGCTCTACTCAGCCTACAGCTTCTTAGCTTCTCGCGGTGCTAAGCCTAAAATATCTTCGGGATATTTAAAATATCAAACGTCGCAAAGATCAACCATCGACTACATCATTTTTCAAGAAGCCAAAAGCAGATAATTTGGAAAATGCTGAAGATGTTGATGGTAAGTGAAGTGAAGTTATAAATGTAAACTCGAGGGTTATGTTATAAAAGATCGCGAGCAAAATTAACTTCATTCTTGCTTTGGTTAAGAAAAGTATTAATTTATTGATGTCGTTTTAATTTCGTTTCAATATTTTTTGTACCGATTCTTTACTTCCGATAGATTTTGATTGCTTAATTTAGCTTTGTTTGCAATTACTAGATTTTGTTTTGTTTAGAATTGGGACTTTGCATCAAAATTTTTTAATTGCTGATTTTAAAAGTTTATTGAAAATAATTCGACACGTATTTTTTTTTTGTCATATTTCGATGAAATAAAAACTTAATTCCACAGATGAGGACAATATCTCTCAACCCAAGTGGATTACCAATGATTTCACTTGGCTGGCGTACTCAGCGAGTGAAGACAGCGTATACTGTAAACCTTGTTGGTTATTTTTCCATGAAGGCGTTGGAAAAGGGGGTCATCAAAATCCAGGAAAACTTGTGTCTGTCGGTTTTCGAGATTGGAAAAAAGCCAAGGAATATTTAAAAAAACACATGGAAAAAGAATATTACAAAAAGTGTGTTCTGCAAGCCACTTCGTTCCTCGAGATATTATCTGGAAAGCAGCTTGATGTAGCATCTCAATTGGACAGTCAACGCACCAAAGAAATAGCTGAAAATAGGGCTGCAATCGAACCAATCATTCGGACAATTCTTTTTTGTGCAGAGCAAGAATTACCTCTGAGAGGCGGTCATGATAGTAGTGCCTTATCTTTGACACGACCTGAAAATAAAGATGGAAAGTTCAGAGCACTTTTGCGGTTTAGAATTGAGTCTGGCGATAAAGTTTTAGAAAAACATGTTCTCAATAGCTCTAAAAACGCTACTTATATGAGTCCTATCATCCAAAATGAAGTCATTCAGACGTGTTCTGATATTGTCACCGAAAAAGTAATTGACAGAATATCGAAAGCAGGGTGTTTTAGTCTCCTTGGCGATGAAACAATGGATGTTTCAGGGACCGAGCAGTTATCACTATGTATCCGGTACGTCCATATCCAAGATCTCCAAGCTCCTGTTCTTTGTGAAGATTTTGTCGGATTCATCCCAATCAACGATCAGTCTTCTGAAAATCTGGCGAACGTTATTTTGCAGCGATGTGATGAGCTCAATCTTGATATGAGTAGGTGTGTTGGGCAAGGATACGATGGGGCAGCAAATATGGCAGGTCATTTGAGTGGAGTCCAAACAAGAATAAGAGAAAATTATCCCAAGGCAAGATACATTCATTGTGCCAGTCACCGTTTGAACCTTGCTCTGTCGAATGCCATGTCTGCTCCAGCAATACGTAACTGTCTTGGAGTTGTTAGTCAAATTGTAAATTTGTTCAGGAATCATTCGAATGCAAGCAAAATTTTTCAAGAAACTATTCAAAAACATGCTCCAGACAGTAAAAAGAAACGAATTCTCCGGTTTTGTGACACAAGATTTATCGAAAGGCATGACAGTATTATTGTGTTTTTAGAACTTCTTGAATGCATTGTTAAAGCTTTAGAAGAAATCGCTCAGAAATTTTCCTCCAAAATAAATCATCAGATTTAGTTTCCGCTGTACTAAATCTTTCGTTTTCGTAGTGTGATGGGCCACGACAGACTAAGTGCACTCGCGATGATTTCGATTCACTGGGATACTGTTGTTGATCCGGAGGAAGTTCTCGACCGTTTATCGAAGAAAAAATCAAGGAAGTTACTAATTTAAGTAAAATACATACTGTATTCACATATAGCTGTTTTATGTGAAACATAAATAATGCTTCAATTTATTTTTAACATTATAGTAACTGTTAATTGTAACCTTATACTTTGTACTGTACCTTTTTCTTGCACAATAAATAATAAAAGATCAAACGTCACGGACTGATTAAAGATTGATGTGTGATTTGCCTTTTTCTGAATTTATTGGAATAAGTCCACATTTTTTATTGATTTTTGTTCTTGAGCCCCCCCCCAGAAACAAATTTCTGGATACGGGCCTGCCCTCTGGGTCAGGAGGTCTCTTCCAGGGGGGGTCTAGAATAGTTAATAGTTTTAGTTGTTGATTTGTGATCTATTAAGCGTTCTGTTAGTAGACACTGGTAGTTCACTGAGGGGCTTTGGAAGATTTTTACTTTAAAGAACTTAAGAAAGGTACAACCAGCGAAGGAGACATCTCCGACCCTATGAAGTATATATATTCTTGGTCAGGATCACCTCCTGAGTTGATATGAGCATGTCCGTTTGTCTGTCTGTCCGTCTGTCTGTCCGTTTCTACGCGAAGTAGTCTCTCAGTTTTAAAGCTATCGACTTGAAACTTTGCACACACCCTTTTTTCCTTTGCACGCAGTATATAAGTCGGAACGACTATATCTTATAGCTGCCATATAACTGATTGATCGGAAATGGTATAACTTTACTGTTTTTAGAGTTAGAGAGTTCAAATTTGACACGAGAGCCATTGTAGGCATTACGACATGCCAAATTTCATAAGAATCGGCCGACTATACGAACGATCGAAAATGACACAACTTTCGTGTTTTTGAAGATAGAAAGCTGAAACTTAGTACCGATTCTATTTTTGGTCAGTTGATCCAACCTACCAAATTTTATTAGGATCGGCTGACTATATCCTATAGCTGCCATATAACGATCGGAAAAGGTATTTGGTAGAAATATTAACTTTCCTATTTTGGAAGATAGAAGCTTGGGACTTTTTTTTAGATTTTTTATTTTAAATAATTGGTTTTATTTGTAACACCCTCAAAATCTTGATTTTTTTAGAAAAACTGGTTTTTGTCACTTTTTTGCGCTTAAAAATTCCCTTACGCGCAATTTTAAGCGGATTTTAAAATTTGTACTATATTCGACCTAATAAACAATTCCTACTAGGGCTTTTCAAAAGTTCCAAATCACTGTCGCGCTGTGTTATTATTGTTTTTAAAGTATATTATATATACTATTATTGTGAGGAGATTAAATCTCTTCGCCCGCAAAGATACGTATCCGGGTCGGTTGAAGCCAAGAAAGGGGGAGTTTAGGGGTCATTGGAGCGCACCTCGGTCCGTGGCCAGAGATCCGTGGCCGGGAAAGGCGAGGGGGCGCTGATGAAACCCCGCCAACGAAAGTGTGGATTGATACTGAAAAGCTGAATTAACGGAAGGAGCGACATTGTCGATCCGGGTTGAAGGACAGGAGAGTCTTTTGGAGAGTCCGACAGCCCAGAGAAAATAAAGTGCGAGGATATAAACGAGGAAAGAAGAAGCCATGCCGAGACGGTTTTTACTGAAGGCGAGGGTACTAGAGTCGAATTGAGCGAAATCGCGATATCCAGGCGTGACCATGCGAAGCAAGTGGTGGCCAGCCTTGAGTTCTCAGCCCAGCCACTGAGAAAACCGTTTGGGAACACCACCTTACAGTCAAAAGATTCCTTACCCAGGCTTTCTAGCGTGTATTCGTGGTGACTCCTTTATGTAAGCGTGACTCCTTTTGTGTCTCAGAGTGTATGCCTCCCTACTTTTTAGAGGTGGGCTTATTGGCGCCCCCCCGAATCAGCTGCCGGGCATTATAAGTGCGAGATCACAGAGAACGAGCAGCAACAGGAGCAGCCACCGACGCGCAGTGAGCAACGCCACCCCGGAAAGGCCCCTGGCGGACGAGCGCCGACGGCGGAGCTGAGCGAGAGCCCATTAGGAATAGCGACGATCCAGCAACGTCTAAAGCTATATTTCATTTGTATGAAACTAATAATTTAAAATGCAGAAGCCATTTATTTGAATTTTCTTCGCTGACTGTATTTATTTTATTACATCATTTAATCTTGAGTAGTTAGTGCAAATGTCATGAGAGCCAGTATACCAGCATTACCTATAATAGCAATGAAGGAACCAATACCGTCCAAAAAACTATCAATTATCGCAGCTATGTATCTTGCTATAAATGCTGCAATCACAACTCCACCGTAGAATGGATTTCCGTATTTGATGGCTAGATAGGTAGTGGATCCAATGTTTCCAAGTAATGACAAATCCTTTAGAGTCTCAGTGGCACTATCCCAATCGTCGCCCATTTTACCCAACATATCGTACAGCAGTGGTATAAGCGATAGCCCGTGAACTAATGCCACTGCTGATTGTTCAGATACAAGGTAGAACTCTATGTTCGCCAACGGTAATGGTATAACTTCCAATATACTAGCAGATATTATGAAAGCACGCCCGCATTCTTCAGTCTCTTCCGAAAATGTGCGCACCAATCCCAAAAGTCCATGCACAAAACTAAAAGATGCCACTGTATAACCATAGGGATTATCTGCTGGTGTCAATGAATACAGTGCATAGCAACATGCAGAGATAAGCAGCAAGTTTGAAATGACTCCTAAAAGTTTCATTTTTTGTTAATTAGGCCAAATGTAAGTACTGAAAATTTGGAGTATTGTTTGCTTGAACCTTATGTATGGAATGTTTATATTTGATAAAAACTCACTTAATCAACAATTTGACAAATTTTTCATGGTTTTCTTATTTAGCACTTAATTCACACTTTGAACAAGTCGTCGAACAGAAGTTAAATTTTCGCACTATATGTAAAAACAAAAAGGACGGCTAAAGTGAATTTTTCCGATTTTATGATAACCTGTACTTTTCTCTTTCACTCAAATTCCTTTGTATACAAATGTTTTTTTTTCATAAAATTAACCTTTAAAATAGATTTTTTTTTAAATTTGGTTAAATACTCTTGTACGCTCCTGGACAAACCTATAATCGCCTCTTTCCACTTTCGCCTCTAATCCATTCATGTAAAATCTTTGCAATTCAAAAAAAAAAAAACAAGAAAGGAAAGCTAACTTCGGCGGAGCCTTGCAGCTAAAACCGGATATATATCGCAAACATAGGATATAGTCGGCCGATCTTAATGAAATTTGGTAGGTTGGATCAACTAACCAAAAATAGAATCCGTATTAAATTCCAGCTTTCTATCTTCAAAAACACGAAAGTTGGGTCATTTCCGATCGTTCAGTTATATGGCAGCTATAAGATATAGTCGGCCGATCCTTATGAAATTTGGCATGTCGTATTGGTTTGCCAAAATTAGCTCCCGTGTCAAATTTTAATCAAATCAAACTCTCTAACTCTAAAAACACCAAAGTTATACCATTTCCGATCAATCAGTTATATGGCAGCTATGGGATATAGCCGGCCGATCCCGGTCGTTCTGACTTATATACTGCGTGCAAAGGAAAGAAGGGTGTGTGCAAAGTTTCAAGTCGATAGCTTAAAAACTGAGAGACAAGTTCGCGTAGAAACGGACAGACAGACAGACGGACAGACGTACTGACGGACATGCTCATATCAAGTCAGGAGGTGATCCTGATCAAGAATATATATACTTTATAGGGTCGGAGATGTCTCCTTCACTGCGTTGCACACTTTTGGACAAAATTATAATACCCTCTGCAAGGGTATAAAAATACGGATACGTATACGAACTACCGAACTGAGCGGACGTGCTTTGTCCGAGCTCCGGGAAAACTTCACCATAATACAGCTAATCAAAAAAAACTGGCGTAACCCAATATAAGCGAAAAGACGCTGAACTACAATTTACTAAAAGCGACAGACAAGCTTTTTATAACAGTTGTGATGTGCTAAACCAAAACTAGTGCATTGTTAAAAAAAACAAGAAAGGAAAGCTAACTTCGGGCGGAGCCGAAGTTGATATACCCTTGCAGTTAAAACCGGATATATATCGCAAACATCGGATTTAGTTGGCCGATCCTTATGAAATTTGGTAGGTTGGATGAACTGACCAAAAATAGAATCTGTACCAAGTTCCAGCTTTCTATCTTCAAAAACACAAAAGTTGGGTCAATTCCGATCTTTCAGTTATATGGCAGCTATAGGATATAGTCGGCCGATCCTTATGAAATTTAGCATGTTATAATGTTTTGCCAAAAATAGCTCTCATGTTAAATTAGAACTTTCTAACTCTAAAAACACCAAAGTTATACCATTTCCGATCAATCAGTTATATGGCAGCTATAGGATATAGTCGGCCGATCCGGGCCGTTCCGACTTATATACTGCGTGCAAAGGAAAGAAGAGCGTGTGCAAAGTTTCAAGACGATAGCTTTAAAACTGAGAGACTAGTTCGCGTAGAAACAGACAGACGGACAGACAGACGGACAGACGGACATGCTCATATCAACTCAGGAGGTGATCCTGATCAAGAATATATATACTTTACAGGGTCGGAGATGTCTCCTTCACTGCGTTGCACACTTTTGGACAAAATTATAATACCCTCTGCAAGGGTATAAAAAAGTAAGAGCCACGCAATGAGCTCATTGAGCAACGATCAAAAGAACGAGCGTAGAAGTTCAGTGAACCAAAGAAACGGCTTCTACTCTTACTTTTCAACCCGCGATACCGAAGTGGAAAAATCGGCGATTATAAGCAACCCGGCTTTACTGACCGTTGAAACCCAAAGGGCACGGTCTTGCTCACCCGCACTGCTCACTCCGACTCCCGCGTCATGGAGTTCGCAATGTAAACCCCCCCTCCAATATCGGAAACAAATTTCGCACCAACAACTAGCAGTGCTACAACTTCTGCAACAACAGCGAAAACCTCTGCAACTCAAAGTACCGCGACGTCAACGACTACAGCGAGTACAAAAACAACAACCTCGGAAAGTGCCAAAGCGGTAACGGCCACACAGACTGGAATGGATCGCTACATCCAAATTAAGCGCAAGCTTAGCCCGCAGAGTAATCCGGCAGGCAATAAAACAAAAATTAACCGTGTCCTGAATATCGATAAAGAACCAGACAGATCCACAACTAACAGATTTGCCCTACTGGCGGAGGTTAAGGAAAACCAACCAGCCCAAGACACCGCAAAAAGACCCAAGCCTCCTCCAATATATATTAGGGAAAAAAGCGTGAGTGCCCTGGTCAACAAAATTGGGTCGTTGATCGGGAACGGTGGCAACTTTCATGTTGTTCCGCTTATCCGCTTATCAAAGGGAACATCCACGAAACAAAGGTGCAAACCATGACTGAAGAGCACTTCCGAATCGTGTCGAAATATCTGGACACTGTACAGAAAAACTATTACACGTACCAGCTGAAAAGCAGTAAGGGCCTACAAGTGGTAGTAAAGGGAATAAAACCTGATGTTACCGCCGCGGAAATAAAAACCGCCCTTAAAGAAAAGGGCTTCGCCGCCAAGAATGTTATTAACATTCTAAATAAAGATAAAAAGCTACAACCCCTCTTCAAGGTCGAGCTCGAGCCAGAAAGCAGGTTGCTGAAGAAGAACGAAGTCCACCCAATCTACAACCTGCAATATCTTTTGCATCGGAAAATCACTGTAGAAGAGCCACATAAACGCAACGGTCCAGTGCAATGCACTAACTGTCAAGACTATGGACTGCGGGGACGCCCACAAGTCCGCTTGCTGCACTACAAACAAGGACAGTACCGTGAAGAAATGTGGAAACTGCGGAGGCAGCCATACAGCAAACTATAGAGGATGTACCGTATCGCTTCGCGAGTGCTGTGGTATATTTGGAGTCGAATTAATAATTTGCCTAAATTCTATTCCAAGCATAGCTCAGCTCTGCTTCTTCCCCGGCTTATCTATATTTCTGCATTTCTCTTTTGCACTCTTTCAAAGCTCCCGCTTCAGCTTCTTGTTTGGCACAGTGGTTCAAGGTATTGTGTTTTTTAACTTTTTAAATATTAATTTTTGTTTTATTAAATAAAAAAAAATAAATAAATAAATAAAATGGAATTTAAACTGGTCTGTGCCATTAAGTCTTGTAACAAGACAATTTCCACATCCCAGCCTAGCATCCATTGCTGGTTATGTGAAAACGTCGTGCACGACAAGTGTGCCGGTTTCACTGCATCAGTTTCGGATGCCATTTCCCGTAGGTCTGGGATACATTATTGTTGTGAGAATTGTCGTGCTGTGCAAGGTGAAATGAGGTCGTTCATGAGACAGACCAAAAATGGATTTAAAGAGCTGATCACTGGTTTTCGTAAAATCAATGAACAGCTCTGTGCGCTGGACACTCAGTTTAGTGGCCTTCAGCTGCTAAATGAGTCCCCTAAGCGTAAGAAATCCGCTGTTTCTGATCCGCCTCAGCCTGCTCAGCCGACATTAATGCAGCCGCTTATATCTCTGGCCACCCCAAGGGCTTGAACTGAGAAAAATTCGTCCGAATTTCTCAGGGATAATGAGCAATTGTCCGATATGTCCGCCATGGCATCCCTTCAAGTGATGCCACAGGTCCTAGGGAACGAAACCCCCATTAGAGTCACCCAAAAGGGTATTCCACAGTCCGGGCCACCGGCACCGACTGATGCTGCAGTTCTCGTACCTGCGACACCAAAACCCTTACAGGTGATTCCTCCATCGAAACATATATTTGTTTCTCGGCTTGCCCCTGATACTTCAGAGATTGATATCTCGGCTTATATCAAAGCCAAAACAAAAGCCGATATAAAGGTGGAGGACATAACTAAATTTAAATATAATTATACACGGCGCACGTCTTCTTTTAAGATTCGTGTGCCCGCGCTGATGTTCAAGACGATTTGTTCTCCCAGTTTTTGGCCAGAGAATCTTTTCGTCCAAGAACATCAGCCTAGTTCCGTGAAGAAAAAAGTTAAAAAACCAGTGGGAGTGAGACTTCCCAATATTGGAACCACTGACCAACCCTCCACCTCTTCTTTGGCCACTAACCCAAAAAACTAGTTTCCTCATTAACTCTTACCTATCAGAATACTAAGGGGCCACGTAGCAAACTCCCCAAGCTATATTCTGATAGTTCTTTCTTTGCATCCCATATAATAGCATTTACAGAAACTTGGTTAAATCCGGAGATCTTTAGCTCCGAAGTTTTTCCAAGTAAGTACACAACTTTTAGACGGGATCGATCTCAGCGAAGAGGAGGTGGAGTCCTCATTTCGGTAGACTCTACTCTTGCTTCTGAAGAGGTGAAATCCCATGAGTTTGGTGACATAGAATTTATTTGCGTTAAAATCACTATGTCCGTTAAAGCTTTATACATTACATGTTCATATATACCTCCTATGTCTGAACCGCCTACATATTGGCAGCATTTGTCCGCCATTCGATACGTCTCTAATCTTATGACGGATCATGACCAACTCGTAGCGGTGGGCGACTTTAATATCCCAGAATTAAAGTGGTCCAACGTCGATAACTCACCATCTTTGTCACTTATAACTTACCATGACTTCACCGCGGGCATGTTTGACATGTCCCTAGGTCAGATCAATCATGTTAGAAATTCGCTCGGTCGGCTTTTAGACTTGTGTTTTGTATCTGATCCTGATGGTACTGCTCTCTCCAGAGCTTTTCCCCTTTCATCCCCAGAGGATCCATATCACCCCACACTGGAGGTCTCAATCGAAACCACTCCTGGTATCGATCAGATGTCTCCGAGCGTGG